AAGATGATTGAGTCTCTGGGAAAACTGGCTTTTGATCAGCTGCAGAAAGGCAACCTGATCTTCTATGAATCAGACCTGACAGAGTGTGGCATCAATATCAGAGCAGCCTCAGTGTACTCAGGAGTGTTCACACAGATCTTTAAAGAGGAGAGAGGACTGTACCAGGACAAGGTGTTCTGCTTCGTCCATCTGAGTGTTCAGGAGTTTCTGGCTGCTCTTCATGTCCATCTGACCTTCATCAACTCTGGAGTCAATCTGATGGCAGAACAACAAACAACATCCCAGAAGTCTGAAACAAGACAAGACAAATCTGAACTAACACATCTCCACCAGAGTGCTGTGGACAAGGCCTTGCAGAGTCCAAATGGACACCTGGACTTGTTCCTCCGCTTCCTCCTGGGTCTTTCACTGCAGACCAATCAGAAACACCTACGAGGTCTGCTGACACAGACAGGAAGTAGCTCACAGACCAATCAGGAAACAGTCCAGTACATCAAGAAGAAGATCAACGAGGATCTGTCTGCAGAGAGAAACATCAATCTGTTCCACTGTCTGAATGAACTGAATGATCGTTCTCTAGTGGAGGAGATCCAACAGTCCCTGAGTTCAGGACGTCTCTCCACAGATAATCTGTCTCCTGCTCAGTGGTCAGCTCTGGTCTTCATCTTACTGTCATCAGAAGAAGATCTGGATGTGTTTGACCTGAAGAAATACTCTGTTTCAGAGGAGGCTCTTCTGAGGCTGCTGCCAGTGGTCAAAGCCTCCAACAAAGCTCTGTAAGTACAGAGACAGCTGGATTCATATATCATAACTTAAATACTCTGTTGTCTTTTCAGCTTACTGTCTTTTTCTTTATTATATCATCTTCTCAGACTGAGTGGCTGTAACCTGTCAAAGAGAAGCTGTGAAGCTCTGTCCTCAGTTCTCAGCTCCCGGTCCTCCAGTCTGAGACACCTGGACCTGAGTAACAACGACCTGAAGGATTCAGGAGTGAACCTTCTGTCTGATGGACTGAAGAGTTCACACTGTACACTGGGAACTCTCAGGTCTGATCAAGCTGCAGACCATCTGAAATGATTTCAGATATTTCTCTAAACTCCATACAGTTTAAACATTCTCTCTCATGTCAGTATTTCTGAATCTGACAAATGTTCAATCAGGATTTGAAACTTCACAGTTCAGAAACTCTTTTCTGGTTCAATCCCACCTACTGAACTACATACAGATATGAACTCTGGCTGATATAGAAAAGACCATTATGCTTTCATATCATGTTATTTGAATTGACTCATTATTTATGAGTTAATCATAATTAACTGTAAGGATTTAAATCTGTGCTCAGAAGAGATTATACTGTAGATCACCAAATTTAGTAGGGCTGGGTATCGATTCAGATTTTCCAGATCGATTCGATTCGATTCAGTTCAGTTCAAAATCGATTCAGTCAAGTATATTTCAATTATGATACAAACTTTGCTTGGATATTAAGATATTTTCTGAGAACTAACAAAGTATATTTAACAAGGAACCCTCTGCCCTGGTGCATTACTATTAAAAATACTGTTTACATTAAGAATTGACCCCAAAGCAGTACATTAGTCATCATGTACTTCTATTTAACATTACTTGACCAACACATACAAAATAAATATTTTAAATTAAATCTAATCACAAGGCAGACGATTTAAATGAAGTGGCTACAAAAAATGTAAACAAAGGACATCCACAAGTTTGCTGCCTGTAACCATCTTATAAAGCTTTTGTGCAATACACTACAGTGGTTGTGATGCACACACTGACTGTATCAGAAGAGAAACAATATACATAGGTGAACCCTGCAGCAAAGTGAACCCTCTTCTTCAGAGAGGATCTTTGCCTCCCAGTTTGTTCCTGGCGGCAGAGCAGAGTGAACCCTCTTTCCTCTGTGAGGATCTTTGTCCCATGAGAGCAGGCAGCTGTTCTCCGTGTCTGTATAAACAACGTTCGCTGGCGATTTGACAGTCACTAGAAGCACATTATGACCCTTTGTAAAAGTTTCTGTGTGGTACCTCCTGTGTTGTACATGAGCTAACGTTAGCGGCTAAGGACTGAGAGGCTGTCCGGTATGTGTGTGTGTGTCTGAGGAGCGTCAGTACGTTAGCTTGTTAGCCGTAACGTTAGCCTTGCTGGTCGTCATGTTAATGTTATCGTCGGCAGCCCTGAATAGCTTGTAAAGCTTTAGCATAGTTAACACATTTGTTATCGGCCCATGTGTTTACTGCTACAGAAAATTAATAAATCTTTGGTTTATTTGCACAACGTCGCGTCTCTGCCGTCTTTTATCACGCTTGCTAACGCTAAGTTAACTTTACCAGCAGAT